CAGTAAGGTTATACATGATTTCTATTTTTGTTTAATCATAAATACAAAATTAAAATCTCAACCTAACTATTTTGTATAGTCTTAAAATCTTAATGAGCTTTCAATCAATAGCGTGAATTGAATGACATTTGATCTTTCTTTGTTTAATTTATCAATATATATTTACATTACAACATTTAAAAACCCTTCAATTACATAGGGTCGAAAACAGATTCCTGCTTTTATCCATACAAGATATATATTGACATATCGTTCCCTTTCTTTCTCTGTCTTTTAATCAAAGACTTGATTATTAACATTTTCGTAATTTAAACAACAAATTTGCAAGATCTGATACTTAATTTGTCAAGGCATATTTTTCTCAAACAGATTCCAATAATATGACCAAAATTATGAAAGTTGATGAGTGAATAATATGACCAAAATTAGTATATGAATTTTTCGTTTCAACTATACTCTATATGTTAATTAATTTTTTTTTTTAATTATAGATATAATAAGTTTTTTTTTAATATAAATGGAATAATAAATTTCAATTATTTAACAATTTAACAAATATAAAACCATATTATGCATTATATATATATATATGAATAATATGTATCTTGAATTACATAATTTTAATAACTAAAATAAGATAAATTGATTATGTCATGTATTAATAATCTTAATTAATCTTTCATGTCCTTGCTTTAGGACTACTGATTTGTGTGTGTATATATGTAGCAGGCAAGAATCTTTCACCCATGAATTCTTAAGAAATGGTGGGGTCAAGGCCCAGTCTGAGTCTTACAACATTGGTGAGTGGTGACAACGAGAATTTCTTCACTAGTCCTCTTTTTCTTTAAAGGGAACAAACTTTGACCAAAAAAGATTAACGTGTAGAAATTAGTCTTCTTTTTCTTTAAAGAGAACAGACTTTGAAAAAATAATTAACGTGTAGAAATTAGTCCTCTTTTTCTTTAAAGGAAACAGACTTTGAAAAAATAATTAACGTGTAGAAATTAGTCCTCTTTTTCTTTAAAGGAAACAGACTTTGACAAAAAAGATTAAAAGGTAAAAATTAATCCTCTTTTTCTTTAGAGGGGATTGGCTTTAATAAAATAGATTAGCGTATGGAAAATTGAGGTTAAAGTTTCGTTGGTAGACGATGGTAATGAGTGCGAGAAAAAAGAGATCAAATATTTTTCAAATAAATTTATGATTTCTTTTGATCGATGTGGGGTAACAAATTAATATATTTGTCATAAGAAGATTCTTTGATCAATATGGTAGAAAAGGACAATATACAGGAGATTATTACAAAAGGCACTTAACTTTGGAATAAAAAAGCATTAGTGCTATTTCCTCTAAATCATCTTCTCTCTTCTCTTACTTTATTTTATAATAAATCCAATGTTTTTTATTTACATGTAGAAACCAGTTTTTAATAAAGAATTTCAATTTCTAAATGGATTTTTATTCTTGTAGGACCAAGTTGTGGAAAACCAATTATCACGGCTCATAAACATCTATTTCATGAATACTGATTCAAACATTATGACTCTTGAAATTTATTGCAAGTTTTATACTTAGGGAATCGATCCATAAACTTACAAAAATGTCGATTTCCTTATATAAATTTATGGGTTCTCGCCAATTTCCTTCTTTTGGTAACGAAAATCTCAATCAAATAATGGAATAAATAGAAGGAATTAAAGCATGAAAAGCTATTGGCCATTCTATTTATTCCATTATTTGATTGAGATTTCCGTGACCCAAAGAAGGAAATTGGCGAGTGAGCCATAAGGAATCCATCACCTTGAGGTTTATAATCTTTCTTTATCTAGTTTGTTGAGATATATGTTGACATTTCAATATTTAGAAACCCTTCAAATACGTAGTTTAAGATGAAATTTATTTTTCTGTCAATAAGAGATATATATGTGTATTGATATATCATTATCCTCGTTTGTCTTCAAATAAAGGACATGAAAACTAACATTTTCACAATTTAAACAATAAAGATTAAGTGGTTGTCAAATTCCATTATTTACTTGAATATAATGATGCAGTAAGGTTATACATGATTTCTATTTTTGTTTAATCATAAATACAAAATTAAAATCTCAACCTAACTATTTTGTATAGTCTTAAAATCTTAATGAGCTTTCAATCAATAGCGTGAATTGAATGACATTTGATCTTTCTTTGTTTAATTTATCAATATATATTTACATTGCAACATTTAAAAACCCTTCAATTACATAAGGCCCCGAAAACGGATTCCTGCTTTTGTCCATACAAGTATTATTAATATATCGTTCCCTTTCTTTCTCTGTCTATAACATTTCGTAATTTAAATGACAAATTTGCAAGATCTGATACTTAATTTGTCAGACATATTTTCCTCAAACAGATTCCAATAATAGAGAATTAAAAGTTGGTCAATCCAATGTTTTTTATTTACAGGCACAAACAACACTTTTAATAGAGATTCAATTGCTAAATGACTTTATTCTAGTAGGACCAAGTTGTGGAAAAAAAAGATTAAGGTTGTGGAACATTAATTATCACAGCTCATAATATCTATTTATGAAGACTGACTAAAATATTATGACTCTTGAAAATTAATGCAATTCTCATACCTAATTTTCTAATGGGACAAGAAGTCTACCAAAAAATTATTTGATGTGGGGCTGAGTCAGGGCCCGTAGAAAATTATTTTCCAATGGTACAAATTGTAGAAAAAGAAGTTCAAATTGTGGAAACCAATTGTCACGGCTCTAGAAATTATTACACTTTTAAAATTTTATTATAAAATGATCATTGATTAATTAATAATTTAGTGGGATAATTGTAATAAAATAAAAAAAGTATAAATAAACAAATAAAGTAGGAGTCTTTGTGAGTGGATGGTCCAAAACCCTCCGATTTGACAATTCCTAGAAGTGAAGCATGTTAAGCATGTGATGCGATTAATTTCTAGGTAGGATTTGAGAAGAAACATCAAAACTTAAATCCTTTTGTTAGAGGGAAGACCTATGTGGAAACATCATGTTTGTTAAATGTTAGTTGGAAGAAAGTAACACAAAAATAAAAAAAAATAAAAAGGATCAATTTCAATGACTACCCAAAGTTTCTGATATCATTGATCATGATATGTGTTTTCTCATAGTCATATACTGAGTGATAGTTTTAGAAATTTTAGAGATATATTATGATAATGTTATCGAAATGATGTTGAAATATTATAGATATATGGATTTATGTTTTTTGGGCTGGTGGGTGTAGGGGAAATGAAGTGGGAAATTTTTAAACATTTCTACAAGCTACAAACTTTAAACATTTCTAGAAATGTTTAAATGGTAGCATTCCTCTTCATTTGGTGACATAACTCATGGAGAGTTTGGACATATCCAACAATTTATTGATTGGAGGAATTCTTGTAATTTGGCAGTTTTTAGAGTGGACACAATAATTTATCGAGCAAAAACCTTGCTAGGATTGCACAATTTGAACCTTTGAAGAAGGTAGCTATGAGGGAAATCCATTTCTTATGGACAAACCATTGCCATAAGTTGCAATGCAATTGAATCACCATTACATAGACCAAAAGATTCAAGTATTAGTGGAGAAGACAATATTCATTGATATGGATATATATATATCAGTTTTGTTGTGACTTACATAATTGTGCTTTAGGGGTTGTTGCAGTTTTGTCCATAAACCCTTATTGGCGTCGTAGATGATTTTATATTGTTGAATTATTGATAAACATCATGTTATTATTGTGTGTGATCATCTCCATAAGTGATTTGATCATGAAATAGTTAGTGTGATTATATAAGTAACACACTTCAAATATTTTATGTTCTTGTTAATTCCATGGGATCTCGTCAATTCTCAGTGTATACTGTGAATCAAACACAACTTTTTTATGTGTTCACTTTTCACATTCACTTGCTTTGCACTGATAGTTGTTTGAGAATGAACACCTCATTGTTTTAGCAAGCAAATTCAATTGTTGGTTGTACTACATTTCTTAGGCATTTACCATTAAGATAATTGAAAGCAGTAATACTGATCAATATATTATATGCATTTAATGGAGGATTTCTGCAGCAATTTGTTAGATGAGATATATGGAAATTCAAGGAATTTCTTGGTTTCCAACAGAATTGCTTTAATATACTGATTGTTTAGAGTGCTCTGAAAATAACCTCATAATTCAGCACCAATCATAACTTCAGGCCTTCGATCCGTGATTATTGAACTTGGCATGGCATATACACATCTGTAGCAGGTGAGAAATGAATAATGATTGGAATTCACAAAATTTATTGGTCTCAATAAGCTCCGTAGTCATGAATTTTAAGTCATGGGTTTAACTATACAGAATCAAACATAGACAAATAAAACCAACAGCACCATTGATCCATCCTTGTGTACCTGTGATCCTCTGAAAGAAAAGAAGAAAAAATTGACAGGGAACAGTGTAACAAGCAAGTGTTCTCCTCCATGTTTACTCCCTTTCTTTTGGATTCCAACCCACCGTGCATAATCCCACCTGCTCAAAAATTATATGCAAAGTTCAAACACTGAAATGACGAAAATTGAGCAAATTGATATGATATGGCCCTAGCATAGAGTTCCAAAAATCTTACATCAGTGATCCCAAAAACGTGTTGCCGGTTCGAACAGCAAAACATATGCACTGAGTATAAGTTTATGTTGGTGTAACAATGGCTCTAGAATCCGCTGTTCATAATTCCTGCAAGTACTTGATACCTGTTCAAAAAAGAATAGCCACCTTTTGTTAGAGCAGCTTTCATCTTAGAAGGATTATTAGGGTAGAGAATCATCTATATAAAGTTTATTTGTACTTCTTTTTCCCCGAGTATTAGAATTCTCCTACAAGCATAATTATAAAACTGAATTGGTATACATCTTGATGAAAAGCATTTTGTCATCCCAAAATTATATCCCCAACAACTTTAGCCATTTGCCAATTAGAGTTACACAGGAGAAATCATACTCAGATCCTTACTGACATTACATCTTCAGACTTGTAATTATTTGAACCCTTAACTCCAAAATATTTTCATAAATCTAGTCATCATCTATGCAAATTTATAACCCAGAATAGATAAAAGGCCTCTTAGATGAAAAATCAAGGCAAAGGGCACAAGTAGTGAGCAGAGAATATTTTGTTAAATGCATTGATGTGTGTAAAATTATGTCCCCAACTTAATTTGTTAAAGACAACTCAGGATAATCATTCTGGCTTACCTCAAAATTTGAGATATAGTAAGGACATGAAATATTATGTAACCTCATGGAGAAAATTATATTATATGCTGATAATCATTACCTTAGGTTGCTAGAAACTGCCATGTAAACACCATAGGCAACACTAGTTGAAAGTATAGGCACATCCTCTGCTTCACCAGCAAAAGACTTATCAAAGGCCTTTCTTGTATTGATCAAAGCATTTGTTATACCTGTACCAATCTGTAAAACGATACCATTGGTCAAATGCCACCCAATTGGAATTAGAATAATCAATTTTCTTTTAAGCAAAATTTTAGACAAAATATGAAATACAAGCTTTCCCGGTGACAGTTAAGAAATGTGAAGGAAAAAGAACACAAAAGGCTAGTAGGGTAAGGAAAGAAAGATTAAAATAGGCGACATCCACCCTTATACCATTAATTTTTTGATTGGAATTGACATGATGAACATAAGAATCAACATGTTAAAGAATGTTATGCTGGTACCATACTGATGAAAGAAACAAAAGAACTAACATATAGAGGACAACTAGACACTGAAATTTTACAATAAATTCCTCCGAGACAGTAAGAAATCAGATTTCAAATTGCATAATTGGTTAAATACTGTTAGAAATACCCAAAATATGAACTGACTCTGATAAATAATGTTAGTGGCAAAAGAGATAAGAGTGGCTACATAATCTCACTAAAAACACAAGGATTATAATGAACATTCCTTCTTGATGGACAATAGAAATGCACCAAGGTTTAGAACCAGTAGAAAAGCATCCAAAGATTAAATACCTAAAACTACAAAAGGCTAAAATAAAATATTCCGAGTAACATTTAGTAGATGACCTACCAGAGATGCACCGGTTCCAACTGCAAATAATTTAGCCCCATTACGCTGCACAGCAGTCAAGATATTATGAGTTCTCAATTCCTATAGAAATTACTGCTAAATTTATTTATTTATTTTTTTAGTAATCTGACATACCATTATTGCACCTATTCTCTGTAAAAATGAATATGATGTTCCAGTCAATGCCACCTGCACAAAGGATTTCAAAGTTAGTAATGAATTATATTCTGTTGAGAGATTGTTTATGGCAATAAATTTTATCAAATCTGGTTGAGAACCTGGAATGCATTATCAGGACAGCCGTGGAAGAACTTAGCTATTGGCCCAGCACTGCCTGCAAGAGGAGCCCGAAGAGCAACAGTAGGAGCTGGAAGCCAGACAAGCATAAAATCTGCTATTATAGCCATAACCTAGGTTGGATTATTTATCAGTTAGGAAATCAATGATACCATAAAATGTCGAGTTAAATAAAACTGCAGAGGAAAAAAGGGACAATGTTCAATGAAAGTGGAAATACAAGCATTTGATATTAAACATGTAGCTAAAAGAGAAAATTTCCAGTAACACATTCTTCATTTTACGAGAACTAAATATATTTCATTTTTGTTTCTTGATATGATGTGTTTGACAATGTGGTAGATCCCTGCAGTCTGCAGATAAGCAATTAAGATTTGAAACCAATTAACATCACACTTGGCTTTGTGTAATACTTCGTGTAATTGTGACTGCACATGTTTTATTAACAATCGCAGTTGTTCAATCATCTATCAGAACATAAAATAAGTCAGTTAGCAAACTCATGCACCCAGAAGTTCAATCAACACCGGTGGCCTTAATTTTCTGTCAACAAATAACTGTGTACTGAAGATGAGCCTTCCTGACCACAGTGATAATCAGCTATATGAGGATAGGATGTGTCCAAGTCAAAGGCCGTGGCTAAGATTAATGCAAATCAAGCATAGACAAGGAATTCAGTTCCTTTCAACTGACAATCACCAAGGAGCATAGCAATTTTAAGAAAGCAGTAGTGAAGTTTAGGCTATTAGATTCTATTCTTAATTTGAAAATTCCTCTGTCCCAAACTTTTGCCTAATTGAGTTGCAGGTTAGATCACAAGCATATTCAGTTTATAAATCTTTTCATTGGAAAATGGTACTTGCTGCACCACAAAAGATAACATACAGATAGCCTTGGAGATTTAATCTTGAAGACAGCCATACCACATCAGCAAAAACAAAATCCAGCTCCTTGGTAAAATTTTCTCTACGCTTTTCCAACTCTGCAGCAGTCTGAAGTGCAAGCAAGATAGGAAACATAAATTATATCTCAGAAACGCATAATTCAGTCTGTATTCGAAAGAAAAAAGTACTAACTTTACATAAAGCTTCTAAAGTTGATGATAAGTGATGAAACATCAAAAACAATTACAGAATTCTACAAATACAGATAATACGTAACAAGCCCAATATTGAGTCACTTCAAAGAAAAAAAATCGTTGAAGATCATATCAACATCCACATTGTGATTTTAATTTGATATAAAAATCCGAAGGAAGATCAGGCTCTCGGTAAGTTACTAGTTGATTCAGATATAGATATCTAATTATAGAAAACAAGCTTCAAAAATCACATAAAATTCCAAAATCTGAGTCATCAAAATGAAAGAAAAGCGAAGAAGAAAGCAGAAAATGCTTATCAAGTTCCAAATCCAAAATGTTATAAACAAACAAGTCGTACCTTTGCGGAAAGGCTACTAATTTGAACATCAAAATTAATCTCAATCCATAAAATGGCCGTCATCATCAGGAATTACAGTAAATGGGAAACTTCAAAATAAACAAACCTTGGTGAAGACGCCAACACCACACTCTATTGCAACCTTGGTCAGAAATAGATCATCGGCAAGCAACCGTTCTTTAAACCCACTAAACTGAAGCAACCACCTAAATACTGGTGACTTCTCCAGCTCAAAATACCTCTTAACAATCGCTCCCGGCACCCGCCCTGCCTCAACAGCCGTCGCCAAGTCCTTGGGCAAGCTCTCCAAGGACCTCCCCGCCTAACACCACAATTTCCACATCAAGTGCGCACATTACATGCATACTTAGCAACGAATGTAACAGTAAAATTGAAAAATAAAAAATAAGTTTCTATTTACATAATCATGTTTGTATGTACCTCTGCGAGTGCGAGAATGGCGTCGGACCGATTGTGGGACCTACCGTCATCATTGGAGTCCCCTCCTCCTCCTCCACCACCCCCACCATCACCTCCTCCACCGAAGTTGCCGTTACCGCCACCGCTTCCGGAGGAGAAAATGAGAGTTGGGTGGGATTTGTTACGGGTAGAGGTGCAAGGGAGAGAGAAGTTGATGAAGTTGGGATTGGCTGCGTTGGCAATGGTTAGACGGCGGGTAATGATAGCAAAGCTCCGCTGACGGTGGTGGACGACCTGGTGGTTTGATGATTGAAGTGAAAAGGCGCGTGTTGAGAGTGTAGAGACAGATGCCATTGCCATATCTGAACAGAACAGAACAGAAAAGAACAGAAGAGAGATGGTTGAAGCAAAGTCAATGAATCAAGTGGTTCAGAAACACCACTTTAAATTCTGAAACATTATTATTTCATTATTAATGTAGAACAGTAATATAAAAGAGCTTCAAGGTATCAGTTTCACGACTCTTGAGGGAAGTCAACCGGTGGCTATAGGAGAGGAGAGAGGGTGAGTGCGCGTGAGGATGAATACAGAAAGTGAGTGAATAGAGAGTAAAGGGTGAGTTACACGCGTCTGACATGAAAATGTAGTGGAATAAGATCTGAATCTGAATATTAGGAAGGTTCTTAAATCAGATCTGATCAGATCTGATATGATCACGTTAAGTCATCTACGGCTACAAATAGAGAAAAATGTTTCCCGGTAGACGAGAAACAATCTATCTAGTTTACTAGGACTGACCCAAGCTAAGTCCAATATGAGCCCAAAAGCCCAATCCCAAAACCAATGGGCTATTTAGGCCCATACAGATCAAACCCATGAAACCCTCCTTTATCCCGATGGGCTTCGGAGATGAAGGTGATTTTAGCACCCATCTCCCCCCACGGCGTCTAATTTATCAAAATACCCCCATTTTTTAATTTTCCTTTTTGACGAGTTTAACCTTTGTTAAAATTATTAGACGTTACTTTATAAGTTCTAAATTCATTCATATATATATATTTTTTCAAAATTTAATTCTTACATAAACCCTAAATCTAAATTTTCATAATCATTAAAACCGTTTTTTTATGTAAAATATATTATTACAATTATGGATAAAGTAATTACATAATAACTATTTCTAAGTGATCGAGTGATTCAATAGAGACTCTTGGATATACTATTAACGAGGTCTTAGTTCGACTTCTCTTTGGTTACTAACAGATGTAAAGACAACCTAATCATAAAAAATAAAAATAAAAATTACACAAGGAATACGGGAGGACTTTTAATTTGAAGAAGAAAAAGTAAGTTTCAATTTATAAAAATAGGTGAAAATTGGCGTAAAAAAAATCTAATTAAGTTTGACATTGTGGAAAATTGGTATAAACAAACAAACAAAAAAAATAAATTGAAATTGGAAGAGGGGTGTAAACAAAATATCTATTTAAGCTAGAGGGTCATTTTTAGTATTAAATAGAGTTTGAAGAGTTTCTGTGTAATATATATAAATATATATATATAATAATATAGTTGGAGGATATTGAAAATTAGATTAGTACTAAAAATCATTTCCCAAAACTTTATAAAAAAACATTTTTTAATAAAATTTAAAATAAAACGTGTATTTAAATTTTAAATACGAAATTACCCCTTACTAAAATTATATAAAAAAGTGAAGGAATATATAAGTAAATGGTGTTGGAAGACAACAATACATAGAAATCTAATTGGTATACTTTTTTAGATAACATTTCTAAAATCCTATTTGAATGGATAAGATAGGTTTCTGAAATGTGTTTAGTACATTAAAATATTTTAAAAAATATTTAGATTATTTTACCCCTTATATTTATAATTAGTTAACACCCATAATAAAAGTTTATAAATAACAAAAATACAATACCCATCCATAGACCATCGATAGCCAGCTACCACTGTCGAACAATGACCGTAGTCACCGAAATGGCTCATAACAAGTTGGATCTGGCGCCGATCATGTGACAATTGCCTTTCCAGTTAGACCATTGTGGATAAGCTGAAAAATGTCAAATTACTACCAAAATATGTCGTCGTTACGACACCGAGTCTGATGGTGGCAGTGGTGGTTGCTAGTTGATGATAGTGGCTTGGGTGTGTGGGGGTGTTTATTAATTTTAAAACTTTTATAAGAAAAGTAATTGTTAATGGTTTGAATTGGATAGAATATAATTAAATTTTAAGAATATAAAACAAACATATTTTTATTTTTAGGATAAGATAATGTTGAATAGCCAAACAAATCTTGTAGTTTTATATTATAGACTCAAATGATTCATAATTTATGGAAAAAAAAACATATATATTTAAAAAAGAAAGAAATAATACATTTAATTATATATTTTATAGGCAAACTCATTTAGTTTGACTTCTTATTTGGTTCACCTAAATAAAATTTTATTTTTATTTATTTTTTTAATCACAAATTTCTAACAATCACACATAATTTGACAAGTGTTTGGCACACCATATGAGTGGTCTAGAATCCCCAAAAGTTACTATACCCTAACAGACACTCTTATCTTCTTCCAGACACTGGATATAGATAGCCAGAGCCAAATAAAAATTCAAGCTTTCACTTCAAAACACAACGCAAACGCAACAACTCAAAAATGACTACATGTAGCAGCACATCATCATCCCTCATGTTAACTTATGCCGCCTCTTCTGTACACCCCCAAGACTTGACGCCCTCGCTTTCTCTTCTCTCCTTCAAGCCCAAGACCACTACTTTTTCGTGTTACAGCAAGCCCTTGGTGTTGAGCTGTCGAGGGGAGAGGAAAACGAGCCAATGGGTTGATTTTGGTGCGTTGAAAGAGATAAAAAATGGGGCTTTTAATGGCCACGTGGTTGTGGCCGCGGTGGCTGCCGAGGCGGAGGTGGCTACTGATGACGTGGAGGCGGCTGAAGGAGGTGGTGCTGATGTGGCTACCGCTACTACTACAACACCACCACCAACAACAAAGCCTAAGAAGGGCAAGGCCGCGTTGCCTCTCAAGAGAGACAGGGTATGTGTTTTGTTGGATTTTTTTTTATTTTTATTTTTTTGTTCAGTGGTTTGGTTGGTGGGTTTTGAGGAACGTAAAGTCTGATTATTCTTCTTGCTTGGGTTTAAATTCGGGGGGGTTCATTGTTTAATTGGTGGATTTTTGGTTCACTTGTGTTTGGTTTGTTGTTTTAGTTTGTAATTTTGGGTTTAAGAAGCATTTACCATGACTAAATTTATGTGAATTGTGGGTTTATTGGGTGATTTTGAGCAATGTATTTGGCTGGCTTCAATATAGATGATTATTCTGTGGGATTTTATTTTCATAATGGTAGCATTTGTAGACGAACAACCTAGGTGGTTTTTGTTTAATGGTAATCTGAATTATGAATTGTTTTGGCCTAGAGGTTTTATTTTGGTTAGTTTCTTCTAGAAAAAAAGAAAAAAAGAAAGATTTTACTCTGCTGAATTGTATCAATACATGGTGTAGTTCAGTGGATTTTGTCGGGTATGTTTTCTTAAGGTCGTTGCGCTTTTCCAAATGTCAGACGAGGTCGAAGAGGTTCTTGGAAATTCAACAATTGAGAGAAATAAAAAAAGATTATGACTTGAAGACAGCAATATCGTTGATCAAGCAAATGTCAAGTACAAAGTTTACGGAAACAGCTGAAGCTCACTTTCGTCTCAATATTGACCCCAAATATAATGATCAACAGCTGAGAGCAACAGTAAGTTTTCAGTCTTTTTAGCAATATGATAGAATCATTTAGTTATGGCATAACTATTTGCTGTTACATTGTTCGTATGTATTTGTTCTGACCCTTTTTGGTCCACAGGTAAATTTGCCAAAGGGAACTGGACAAACTGTTAAAGTGGCTGTTCTTACTCAAGGTGTTTAAGGATGTTACACATGCCTCAGTTATTTATATATGTTATCTCAATAACTATTGCCTTTTATATAGTTTTTTCCATCTGATATTTTGATACATTGATGTAGAGTTTTCAGGGATTTTTCATTTAAAAATATTGAAAAATGATAATTCTCAATTCTCTTATATGCACATAAGCAACTATTGTCACTTGTTTTTAGGTTTCAATTGTGTTTAAGCTTATTTTCTTTACAGGTGAAAAGTTCGATGAGGCAAAAAATGCAGGAGCAGACTTGGTTGGCGGTGAAGACTTAATTGAACAAATAAAAGGAGGATTCATGGAGTTTGACAAGTTAATTGCTTCCCCCGATATGATGGTTAAGGTGATGCTCTTTTTTTTTTTCTGCATTATATTCATGAAATTCCAGTGGTTGATAAGATAGCTTTGGATTTTTCCTAAAGTGCCTAGAATATCCTCAGAATAAAAACTTTAATTGCTCTACAGGGATGTGGTTTTCATTGTCTAATGAAAATTGTTAACTGGCAATTGCTTTGCTGGTTTGAATCCTTGTATTGTTCAGCAATTCAGAGATCTCTAATGCGTGGAAGTGACTGACTAAAGCTTGTTGTATGATATTCTGAAGGGAATCCAGTTGGTCTTTTGCTAAATCTCATCTGCTCATAAGTATTGATTGATAGTAATGTGCTTGCATGCAATAAGATGGTTTATTTTTGCTTGGAATCATATTAATATTGTTGCTTTGAATTTTATTTTAAAGTCTTTGCTCAAACATGCATCAGGTTGCCAGCCTAGGAAAGATTCTTGGACCACGGGGGCTCATGCCAAATCCAAAAGCTGGTACTGTTACAGCTAACATACCTCAGGTAAGATGTAAATACTTGTTCGCAATTCTTCGTTCTAGAAATTGTGATGGTAATATGTTACTTCATGCTCGACCATGATTACTAAATTAGAGGTAGAAACAATTCAGTAGAATAACACCATGTATAGCTTGGAAATCAGAATGATAATAGATTTCTTGTTTAGTTGACTAATATAAGTTTGGTACCTGAATCAAATGGGTTCACATATAAATTTGTTCAGGCTATTGAAGAATTCAAGAAAGGGAAAGTTGAATACAGAGCAGATAAAACTGGGATTGTACACATACCATTTGGGAAACTTGACTTTTCAGAAGAAGACCTCCTTGAAAACTTCCTGGCTGCCGTAGTATGTTCTCTTTCTAACTTCTCTTACCCAGCCCCTGTCCTTATTGAGTTTAATTTTAGTGTGTAAATAACATCTTACTCAACTTGAAAGTGTGTTTGGTTTTATGTCTCAGAAATCAATTGAAACAAACAAGCCAAAGGGTGCAAAAGGAGTATACTGGAAAAGTGCCCATATTTGCTCATCAATGGGACCTTCCATTCGGTTAAACATAAAGGAGATGTTGGATTACAAGCTTCCATCAAACGCTTGAAGAACAAAACTAACTTCTTGTAAATGATGTCTTCAACTGTTCAATCAGCGTTAAGGTATCGCTGCCAGTGCTCGCCAATGCTTGGTAAAATTGTAGGAGAGTTAATCACGGCGTAGTGAGGAAACCCTGATTGTCACATTTTGAATGAAATTGTAGCTAAACCAAAAAAACATGCATACTGCATAGTTTTTCTCTATACTGACAAGACATAAGATTGTGTAACACTGTTATTATCAATTTCATATCTGCAATTTTTTGATGAGAAAGTTTGATGGTCATTCTGCTTCTGGTTGGAATTTTTCTATTTATCTGCAGCCAATTTCCCTGGTTTCGGTGCCATCAACTATAGCCATAAATTTCAGCCAAACGGCCCAAACCTACTCAAAAAACATCAATGCGAATAATGCTCCAGCTTTTAGGAACACTACTTAAATAAATTATATTACTGCACAAATCATCTTTAAAAAGCGCCAAAAAAAAAAAAAAAAAAAAGAAAAGAAAAGAAAATAAATATACATCTGCGTGTGCTAAAAACTTTTTACAGAGAAATCAAATTGCAGGACAAAAATACGGCTGTGTTTTCAGAAAAATAATACACTAATGTAATGTATTGTTTTCTAATTGATTATTTCTTCTCATAAATGTTGGTTCAGTAATGACTTTGTCCCACTAAACCGGTGACAGTGCCCCAGCAATCTCCACTGCTCCACACTGAATCAGCACAGTAAAAGATTGGCAGTGAGAAAAGGTTTAATATTAACAACATATAACTAGGAAAATTTAAGGGGTTTAAGTGGGTAGCATTTAACCTTTCGAGGGCTGCTCTATCCAAGGTCCGTTCATTATATTCAGAATGCTGCAGGCTTCACTATACTCCAGATCTGGTAGCAGCTTTGGTGTTAGTAAGAAGCACCTGAAGAACATTCACAGAAACAATTGCTTCAAGCCACTAATTATGTTTTGTGATAAACATGAAAGACAGTTTGCTTTTATCAAGATCAAAGCATACTATACAATAAAACATAATTGGAATGTAACCATATAAACATAAGTTAGAAGATATCCTGCCAGTCCATGGCACGAGAACTTCAGCAATTCCTCATTTCCCTGGCACTAAATCTAATTTTTTCTACATTTTGGCCATCATATTACATGCTTTAAAATTAAAAATCTTGTAGCTAAGTTTTACTTGGTAATAATTCATGTTAAATTTATATATTGAGAAAAATAGAGTTGATCTTTAGTTGTCATACATGATATTTGAGGATATCATATACTGAATTAGACCCAAAGTATACTATCCTGGCTCTGCCTCCATTAATAATACTTTCGTTACACATTCAAGAGGAGACCTTGTAATATTATCAAAATTGTTAGTTATCCATATATTGATATATATCATCAACTTAGTTTTATCAAATTTAAGTCAAACTACAGTAAGAAATTATCTATCTCAGAAGTAACCCACATCCCGCTATCTCTAAATTGTTACCCCTTTTTTCAGAGATTATCATCTGACCTTGCTTGAACAGACATAAAAGATGTTCAGAATTAAGATAACTGATCAAACAAAAGAAATTATAAACCATAACCATATTGGTCCTTACTGCGGTGTATTTGGTTGGCTCGCAGCTCTTACTAATTGCTGAAACATCTTTCTTTCATTTATAGGATCCATTCCTGGATAAAGCATTGCAAGCAGCCACAATTATTTTCCTCAGGTGCTATGTATTTTATGCATCTAGCAGCAATGATAAAACAACAGAGGCAACTAACCTTGATTGATCTCATCAACCACTCTAAATGGACAGTTTGTAAGATCTTGAAGAGAAACAAGATAAAGAATAGTTGAAACCGAGCGTTCCTTTAAAAGGAAAAAGAAAAAGAACAAATCAGACAAAGCATAAGAATACATAAATCTGTGATCATAAATGCAAGAACTAAATTTACAATGGTACCCCTCCAGATTGATGGTGGGCACTGAGAACTTCAAGTTTTCCTGTTTGCCTGAAGATTGCATTGTGAAACCAAGTAAGAGCAAGTACCAAAGTTATATATATTAACAGAATTTGATGTGACAAATCAAAATATTGCATCATAAATCATCGAACAACATCAGTGAAGGGGACATATATCTCCATCTAGCCCCATAATTAGAAGCAAAACAATGCTCCAATTCATGCCAAAAGTGGAATGATAACAGATTAATGAGCACCAACCACAAAATGAANTTCTTTCATTTATAGGATCCATTCCTGGATAAAGCATTGCAAGCAGCCACAATTATTTTCCTCAGGTGCTATGTATTTTATGCATCTAGCAGCAATGATAAAACAACAGAGGCAACTAACCTTGATTGATCTCATCAACCACTCTAAATGGACAGTTTGTAAGATCTTGAAGAGAAACAAGATAAAGAATAGTTGAAACCGAGCGTTCCTTTAAAAGGAAAAAGAAAAAGAACAAATCAGACAAAGCATAAGAATACATAAATCTGTGATCATAAATGCAAGAACTAAATTTACAATGGTACCCCTCCAGATTGATGGTGGGCACTGAGAACTTCAAGTTTTCCTGTTTGCCTGAAGATTGCATTGTGAAACCAAGTAAGAGCAAGTACCAAAGTTATATATATTAACAGAATTTGATGTGACAAATCAAAATATTGCATCATAAATCATCGAACAACATCAGTGAAGGGGACATATATCTCCATCTAGCCCCATAATTAGAAGCAAAACAATGCTCCAATTCATGCCAAAAGTGGAATGATAACAGATTAATGAGCACCAACCACAAAATGAAAACAAGTAGAAAATGACAGAAAAGATCATTCAAACTGATGGACATCAATTCTATGTTCGTGTTTGCAATCTTCAGTGAAAATGACTTTCAAGACTATACCAGTTAGTGGTTTCAAAGCAACAATATAATGTGCCATGTAACATTAAAAAAAGCTTGATGTTGTAGATGGATTGCAAAAGCGTGTTAAGATTTTGTTAACCAGCATTACAAAGAACCATAGTTTTAAAAGGTGTACTTGATGGAACATGCTACACTAAATTATTGTTCTCGCCAAATAGGAGAAAGCAGTAATCACAGAGTTATGCTTATCCATCACAAAATTGCCATCCTGAGAAACCATGTCTCTGCTTTACACGATTAATTTTTATTCTATAAAATTTAGTTTTAATTTGCATGATAATCCCATATATGAACATAGACCAATTGTCATTTTTGATTTATTTCAGAATTCGCTAGAAAAGAAAGACAGCCAGCTGAATTGTGTTCATAAGACAAGCTTTTTCCTGCTCTACACAAAGTTAAACAAACATCAATCAGCAAAACAGTCAAATCTAAAATCTGAAATGAAAATGCTAAATAACAAATCACCACAACAATACAAGATGAAATTGTGAACATAAAAAGCAAGTTAAAAGCTACATTTACCTGAACTTTACTTTTATAAGTATGCCAAACTGATCAAAGTCTGTATCATGCTCATCTGGAATGAAACATTAAATCAGAAGAGGCAGCTTGAAATCGTCAATACAAGTTCATAAAAGAAATAACATAAATACCCAATGAAACTTCTCCTGCAACAGCCATTTCTTGAAAGTTACGACTGAAAGTTTCATTTATCTGGGCTACAAGGCTCCTCAATGTTGGAAGCCAATTCTCCTGCAAGTAGTCCAGGAGATTTGTTATAAAGAAAAAAGATACAAGTCAACATGTATCAGCAAAAAAAAAAGCAGAGGCAAGAGATGAGACACACACGCACGCATACACAAGATAGAGATATAGAGATTGAATCAACAATCACTTTGGAGGTTTATGGCAAGAGAAAGTGGAAAAATGAATTTGTTTTAGAGAAACATAATCAGGTAACCTTTCAATTAGTTATTGCAGTACAAAAACACCAAGCAGATAAAAATTGGAGGTTTGAGGATTCAATTAAGTAGTTAATGGGATCTTAAAGAAAACTAAGAAGAAAGAGGAAATTAGTAGTGTACTGCAGTACAAAAACACCAAGCAGAGAAAAATTGGAGGTTTGGGGATTCAATTAAGTAGTTAATGGGATCTTAAAGAAAACTAAGAGGAAAGAGGAAATTAGCAGTGTACTAGAGATATAAGCTCCTTTTGCAAGACATTGCAAATTATGCATATTTCTTTATTAGGCCTCACATCAAAGACTTAACCATTAGCTCAAATAAGAATCCAATGGGTAATCATATTATAGCTTCTTGCTTACATTACATTACATGACTTCCATGTAACAATTATCCTACCTCCTGGAAATAAAATCAGAGACAGCAATAAGATATTTTCACATTTGTTTGGAAAACAATTTACCAAACTACTTTACCTTCAAGGCATCTATTTCCCTTAAACACCTCTTTAGTTCCTTTTTATCTGCTTCCAGTTTTGTGGCCATACCTTCTATCTGCCAGTGCAATTATATTCTTTATAAAGTACCATGACTAATAACTAAAAATAGAGATATAAAAGATGGAAGAAGAATACCTGTTTCTGACGATGTTCATATTCCTGTAGAATGTTCTGGTTTAGAAAAAGAATAGAATTGGCTTGAGAAATATTATCTTGTATTGCCGCCTCCAGCTCCTCAATTGTGGTAGGCATCTGCAGTAATCATGGAAGATGAATTTCAGCTCACAACAAGACTAATTCATGCTTTAAGCTTAAATAACCAGATGAAACCAACTTCAGTACCAGACAATCAAATTATGGTATTAGAATTCAACACGTTGCTTTCTTTAAAAATAAAAATAAAAAAGGAGTATTTGCCCCTTAATAAGCTGCATTACTGCTTGCACACACCTTTGTGCATTCATATTCTATTATGCAGTAGATTCTATTACTGTTCAGAATTTGACATCCAAACTGGTATCTAATAGTTGCAATATAATATATATAAAAATCTTTTAAAAAAAAAAAAAAAAAAAATGGGGACTTTCAAGTACTTCAAGTTACAATACTATCAAACCTCAAGAAATTCCTTCTCAAGTTCAGGAGTGATGAAAGCAATTGATTCTGCATGCCTTTTAGCATCTGACAGTTCTTTTCGACAATCCTCCACCTCTTTTTTACCTAAGGAAGAAGCAAATAAGAAAACTCAATAGCAAAAAACTAGTTTTTTTTTTTTTTTTTTTTTTTTTTTTTTTTTTTTTTTCATAATTCAAGGTTCCAGGTGAAAATAAGAGATTTCCACTGATCGGGCCTTGTTCATAAGCAATCACCCGAGTTCTATAGTTTGACAATTATTAAGACTATATTTACATAAATATGAAATCACAAAAAAGGGAAAGACAGGGAAGTTTTGACAAACCAAAACCAAATTATTCAAAGTGATCTTATTACATGATAAAACGGATCCAAGTACTTAAATAATTGTAGAATCATGCTGAGTACACAAAAGCAGTAACTCCAAGATAGAAAACCCCTAATTTTTCAGACCAAAACCATATTTCTATAGATCTTTGAGTAGACTCATATCAACATGGATCTCTGCGTGAGAATAAATTCAAACAAGTGTTCAAAAATGTTCCAATATGATAAATGTTTATAAATATGAAAAAAAAAAAAAACAGTATTATTAAACTCATAAAGTAAGAAACAAAACAAATCTTGATTTGATCAACTTCTAGCAATAAACAAAACTGAAATAACATTTTATGAACTACTAACTTACAATATTCATATTGCAGTGACGCCTGCTCGGCAAACTTCTGATGCTGCTTGAGATCGACTTCTAAATCCCTAATCTGACACAACAAATTCAGGAATTCATTAATTAGAAATTGCCAACACATGAAAAATGATGTAACATATGCAAAATTATTCCAAACTATGCACAAATGGAGAGGATGTCAAACACAACAATGAAATTCATTAAAGAAAGGCATCCTTCATCAAGGTGCAAAGACATCACTGTGTTAATAGCTGACAACTCCACTTTTTGAAAATTTTGATCAACTTTTTACAGTCCATCTCAATTATGCTTTCAAGTTGTCACATAAAGCATAACTATGAATTGTAATTTTGAAAAAAAAAAAAAAAAAAATTCAACTGACATGCACATTTTGCTTAGAAGTTTGAAAAAAATTGGAATTAGTATAAAAATTTCATTTGTACTGAGACATTCCAAGATTAGTAGAAATATACAGCTTTAGAGCAAATCCTATATTCCCCCAACCAAAACAAAAAGAACAAGAAATTAAAAAGTTTAATCACACAGATTACACTAAATTATGTTATTCGCAAATGGTAAATTTCCTTAATATAATAACAAGCCTATATGTTCTATTACATAACTTATTCGGTCAAGTCCCAGAATGTTTAAGGACATTACAATCTACCTATGTGCAAACATAGCTCTCCACATAGGACATCTAGAAACTAACACATGTGATGGAACATTTATACAGCCATGCAACATATTTACATGTCAAGCAGTGAAAAGAAAAAGCCAAGAATTCTCAACAGTGACTTTGCTAGGGTGTTTTTTTACAAACTCATTAGTTCTGAAATACTACTGCAAATTGATTGTTCTTTTGGTCTAAAAATAAGACAGCTCTGACAAGGACATGTGTGGATACGGGACATTAACTGAAAGTACAGAAATTCTTTCTTTGACAGTGCTCATAAATACAAAGTCACAGCAGTACCTAAAAGACACATGATTCAAACTACCATATCAGAATCATCCAGAATGGTTTTGGCAGAATTTTTCACACTTCCTACAGCAATCTGACTCTTAAAATTCCTTACTCATCACTTGATTTATCTAATTGATGAGCCATAAAAATCAGTAAAATGTTCTAGACCAACACTGACATTTGACCAAGAAAATACCTTTGCATCAAATTCAATGGAGGCCATATGTTTTTCAGCATAACTCCATTTGTAAGAAATAGCCTCAAGAAGTAAATTCTGCCCACAAATAAAAGTAAAAGAGTAAAATTAAAAATTTATAGAAACTAAATTATTGAAAGCAAGTAACTAGCAACTTGAATCTGAGTCTAAACTTTGCTAAATTATCACTACCACCAATACTATGACCTCAAAAACATCAAAATACATGACCTCCAACTTCACCTTAATTTCAATAGCATATTTAAACCGCTGACTATTAAGACTCGCAGCTTGGTCAAGAAGCTTGGCCATAACAGAGTCCAGGTCATCCTCCTTCTCAATAGATTCTAACTTCCTTTTCCTTTGATCTAAAATTAACATATCATGATCATATTTTCTAAATAACGTAAAAATACTAATAAGAAATTCTCTTCACATTGATATGAAAAACTATATGTACTTACTGACACGACTTTCCATTTCACGCCGCTTCCTCTTCTCATGTTGAACAACACTAATAATCTCCTCCTGCACACAAGTGAAAGATAGGAATTACAATAACCAATCCATAATGTACAATTAAGATTTTATATATATAAACCAGTTGTATACAAAAATACACATTAAGAAAGGTGGAATAATATGCTACTACTAGAATCTGAGGTCCAAACAAGAAGAGGTCAAATAATGCACACCCTTTGTTTCTGAAGTTTAGCTTCTTTATCCTCTAAAAGTCTTTGCTCAGTCTGTAGTGATTTCCGGCTTTCCTCTAATTCAACTACAGATTCTTCCAGCTCCTTCTTCCTGGATCTCAGTTTTTCAATTGCCCCAACATCCGAACCTAAGCCAAAACAAAATGGCAGCTTAGATAATGCACAAGTTTTACTTTTCTGGAAGGTTAACAAAAACATACTACACAATAGAAGACGTGAGGGAAACACAGGTTCCACGCTCCCAGAAACGTGTCCTCCATATCGGGAACGAGTCCATCTGTAGTGATTTTCTGGAGTCCAAAAATCTGAAATTCCCAACTTTTCAACCTCATCAGCCTTCTGATCAGTTTCCTTCGATCCAATGTACTGAGAGCAAAACAAAAAATTCAGAGAAGCATAAAAAACCAAACATTTATAAGAACATATTTTAACTTCTTAACTTCATCACAGTTGACTATAGGACTTGATGAATATTTGGACAAATAATATATCTATAAACAAAGTTTAGGAAACATACTGAATACTCAAGACCACACTGACTTGTCAAAACCTCCTTGACCGCATTAGGAGCATCAAAAACTTGATCAAGCCGGCTAGAAATGCCAAGTGCACGCATCTGCCCAATGCAATAAAATTAAAATCCCCAATAAACTACTTGGATTACTTCAAATTTAATCCTAAATTGAGGTTTCAGTTACATGATACCTCCTCTGTAATTTGACCAGGCTCCTTGCGGTGACTGTCATTGCTCACATAATTCAAAACAGGAACATCAAATAATCTCAGGTTTTTGACCAAAAAGTCCCGATCACTAGCATCCTGAGTGATGAAAGACTAAAAAACAAACAAAATCAAATACTGCCATCAAATACAATACCATTCAAGGGACAAGTAGACTGTTTGTCTATACAACCAACAAGCATTCTATTTTAAGAAGCAAATACTAAATATAAGATGTTAGAGGAGCTAAACTAAAGATGGCTCCTAATCCAAGAAAATAAACAGAAAAAGGTTGCAGTATTGATGGAATATTAGCAATTTATAAACAATTTCTATTCATTCAAGACAACTGTGACATGTACCAGCTAGATATCAAACACGCACAGATACACACACACAAGTACAGAGACAGATGCCAAAGACAGACAGAATATGACTCCTAAAACAATTCTCTAAAGGCTGCAGTGGTAACAAGTATTTGTACTGGGTGAAAGGCGTGACTAATACATATACATGTGTGAGCTTTTGAGCCATTACAACTTTGCCACAATCTTGAATCTTCAAAAGGACATAGGTATTTTAAGCAGTCACCTTCTATTTCATGTCTGAGTCACGAAATATTTTTCTTCTTTCTCCCCTTCTTTATTGAACATGTATTACAAATAAGCTAGTTCATGGCACAATACTAATAGCACTACATTCACATCTTGGCCATGAGGCTCACGCCATCCAGTGCATAATGACTTTTTTGTCAAGCATTGTCAATGAATTTTCCAAGAATTAGCAGTTTCATTGATTTACTTTCTCTCATCTTTCCCTCAACGAATTATGTTTCTTTTCTGGAATTTGTTGAACTTATGCAGAAATTCCTTTCTGTGTCATTTTTTTTTATTAAGTTCCTTCGCTCCCCCTTGTCCACCCAATAAACCTCTGGGATAGCCAATATTTCACTAAAATTCAAAAAAAAAAAAAAGGCTATGCACTCTTTTCTCAACTATTATTATAGCTATTGCAATGTCTGGAAGTCACTAAAAACAGAATAAGCATTTAGTTGCACCCAAAAAAAATTATGCAACAGTGTCATCATAATCTTTATCAAAAATAATAAGAAAATCCAATAGAGACAATAATGCTTTGACATACCTTCCAGATATAATTAGGCACCTGACCTTCTAAGTAGTTAGCATGAACTCGATTTGACACATTAACCTGAATTTTGCACCAATAAAATATAATGAACCAAAAAAAAAAAAAAAAAGAGGGTAAAACTGTTATCAAATGAACTATGGTCTGAACTTAAACATATATACCTCAAGTAGCACAGGACCATACACCTCCTTATTTAACTCATGTCGATGTTGTTGCAACCATTCATAAGCCTCAAATATCTTTTCAGCTCCAGAATTTCGTAAAGCATGCAAAAGTTTGTTATTTTTGTTTTCCATATCCTTCAACCTGAAAAGGATATTTTGCAGAGATTAGAAATTGAACTTTCCTAAGGCAATTGTGTATCTGTTTTACCTTAGCTTGAACCTTACCCATCTGAGCACTGCCTCAGGGTTAATTTAGTTTGAGTTAATTTTTTTTCCTTCTCAGCCATCTGAAGCCTCTTTTGGTTGGCAAAAACTCCTAGCTCCAATATTTGAGCACCTAAATTTTCCTGGTAACAATCTCATTTAATAACTGGAATATATGTATCAATCTAGCCAAAAGTTTCAGATTATAGAATAATGATTACAAAGAAGTTAAAGACTTTGCTAAATAATAATTCAGAGTTCAATATAACAGTCCCAAATGAACATCATTTCTAATATGTGCTCTTAGGTCTATAGAGCAAATGTTGCTATAACAAACAAAATTGGATGTCCTCTCCGGAGAACCAAACCCTCAAAAAAATCAAAGTCAGCAGGTTCACTGACAGCCTCACACAGAAAGAAAATCATGGTAGACATCAAATTTTTTAATTATAAGCTAAAATTTCTAACCGTACTGTTTGGTGCCTTTTTTTACATTCCTATCAGTATTCAAATCAATATCTCTAAATCCATTGATACTATATAACGTATTTCAAACTTTTACCATTAATTGTAGTCAAAGGGCAGGGTAAGCCAAGTTGGCTGGCTCAGTACCAAGATACCAACTTGAACCACATCCCAACAGGCACCGTCATAAAGAGGGAGTTCAAAGTTAGAAACTAAAACATACAAGTTCGCCCTTGGGATGTTCATATGCAGGAAGGTTTTGAAGATCTAGCTCAGCAGCAGCAACATCCTCTTTGGCCTTTAAGATTCTCTGTTGACGAGATTGTTCCTGCCTCCTTAAGTCTTCCATTTCCTTATATTTTCCTTGCACTTGCACTCCCTACGAATATTTAACGAACACTGAAACAATATTAATAAACAAAAATACTACTCAAGCAACTAAAGATGTCTTAGATATACCGCTTGGTTTGCTTTCTCTAGAAAATCCATACGTCTCTTGACATTGTCATTCATAAGATTGCTAAGTTTCTTACACTTAGCATCCAACGTTGCTTTCTCCTGCCTTTTTTTCCTATATTTCAACAATTAATTGAAGAGTAAGTCATTTCCTTATAAAAAACAACAGTAACATTACAATCTGAAGGGAAAAAAACTGATATGATGTTCACAGTTTACTTGGCTTGCACCGCCCTCTTCATTAACAACTATATCAGTGTTAAGTAAAAAAATAAAAGTTCCAACCTAATGACAACACTGTCACTGCCATCCTATTTACTTATCAAATAAACAATATGAACCTCACAAGTGCAATTCTTCATAAAGCATTGACTTAATGAACTACAAGGACAATAATGAAGCAGCAAGTAACACCGGCATGCAGTGCTCTGTATGTAAGTTCACCACCTTACATATGCTTATCAGTACATCTTTACTCAACCAAGATCCAAACCTAAATTTCAGTAACCAATTTATGAACCACAGAAATTTCATGAAGAGAAATATAGAGGTACGGTTTTTTTTTTTTTTTATCGAGAGCAGAATGTCAACGTCACTTATTGTGCAGCCAAAATTTTTAAACAAAAAAGACGGTAAATCTAAAAAACAAAATAAACTGGACCAGGTCAACATACTCAATAGGTTTGCTAAATTCATTTAAAGTATTTGCAGCTTCATCCAACTTCTTCTTGGCATCTTTCTCCCGCTCTTTCACTTCCATATACTCAGCCTTCTTCATATCGTACTTTAGCCATGGTAATTTCTTTTTCATTGACTCAACCTATAAATGGCAGCATAAAAACATCAGAAGGTTATCAAGCAAAAAAAATTGGCAATAAACATAGCCTAATGCTAACCTTCTCTAGTAATTCTAATCTTTGGCGAACACGTTCGACATCTTTTTCTTGTTCAGCTTTAAGGGCCTTTAGTTGATTCAATGTGTCTCCATTTTTCTCAACAGCCTAAAACAGATTACGGAAAATGCCTTAGAATAGTTAAAAGAAGTTTCACTAAATCACCAAGAAAAGTAGATTTAGAAAATTACACATTGAATTTTCTTCAGTTGACGGCTTTTTTCAATAAGAGCAAGATGTTGGACTGGAAGCTGAGGATCACCAACAGCCTTTTCTGTCTCTTCTAAAAGTTGCACAGGAGTTAACTTGGCAAATTCGCATACTCTGTCTTGTGGTAAGAACTAACCCCATCCCAAAAGAAAAGATAAATAAATGAATGAAATGAACAAGAAAAGAAGAAACAAATAAGTAAAAAGAAAAATGCCCCCAGATGAGTTATATATAAAACTTTTCCAAATAGAGAAGAGAAAGATCAGTGAAACATATGAATACATTATTGTGCAGAAAGCATTTTTGCTCTGCTGCCATGAGCTTAATTCATTATAAGTGTTTGTATTGTTTCTATAAAGGAAAAAGACAAAAATCTCTAATCAGTTTATATAAAACTATTAATTCTAAGAGAGATTGCCAAAGACAATACTTATTCGATTACAAGCATGTAAGAATGTAAAATTTTAACAAAAATTTTCTTCATTGAATGACTATCTTTATCATATGAGAAGGTATTGAACATACATGAAATATGTCATACAAAAACAAGTTTAAGAAACCAAAGCCTGTCTTGAAAATGACTCAAATTGAATGACTATTGTGCTTACACGAGGGATCAAACATAAATAACCTACAAAAACTAAGATTGAGAAGCAAATATACATTTATAGACTAACACTGCACACCAAGAAACATGCAGTTTCCAATTGTAAGTCCCGAAACTTACTTGGGTCAAATTATTGACTTGGATGTTGAATCTCTTGATGATTTCCAATATATCTCTCTTAGGTACCACTTTGCCTGAAACCAATATATAATGTATAAATGAAACAACAAATTGCTAAGATTATTAGTTTATTAAGATAAATTAATGCAAATCTTCCCATTTTCTGCACTATGCACAAGAGATAGACAGAACAGAGTTCTAAAAGGTTTCCAGCTTCTTGCATTTGAGTAGAAAATATAGATAAGATGAAAATATAGGATCATACCAGGTCAAAGCGGTGTGTTTCAGAAAAATTAAAACATAAAACAAAAGATAAAAACCTTCTGAACACAAGGAAACAGACACAAAATTACCTGAATTATATAAAGGATGAAGACAGGAACACACAAAAATAAAATAAAAAATAAGTCACTGGTCACCATAAATTATTAATTGATAATATCCAATAGAGTGGAAAGATTTGATGTTGCCATGCAAGATCCTTCTCTAAGAGATAAACCAGAAAGAAAATCCTTGATGATTAGCTAACACAATTGTTCCCCTTTTAGGTAGAACCATCTTGAATTTCTTGGTGAGATCGTTGTAATTGTCACTTTGACCCATGACTCCCACAAAATTTAAGCTTGATGAAGATATGTTCAATCCCTAACCGAAAAGGATTATTGCATTGAATGAAAAGCAATGCCAGTATGGAATTAGATATCTAACCATTGAACAACCACTCTGACTTATTATGTGTATCAATTTTACGCATGACAATAATCTGCTCATCTTTAGAGTCGCCTCTCAAGGAAATCTTGATGTACCCAGACTCCTCGCCCCTCTTCACATATGCTCCAATACTTGTGGCCCTGCCAAGCAGCTACACAAAGTCCCAAACATTATGCAGTTTAAAAAGACATACACTATGATGATCAAACAAAGTGAAAGACAATAACTCACCTGTGGCTCACCACCAAGAGCCAGAGCAATGGCACAAACAAGAGAGCTCTTGCCAGAACCATTAGGCCCAATCACTAGGTTTAGGCGTGATCCTGGTTTACAAATCAAGTGATCAAAGGTCATAAAGTTATGGAGCTCAATCTCAATTATATTCCCTGCAATATAATCATCTTGGCCTCTGGAAGAAAACATTTTGGAAGTCAGTAAGCTAGTTGCATACTTGATAACAAAAATTTTAAAAAAAATTAAGAAACAAAACATTGAACTATATGTAACATGTCCTTTTGGCAACCAAATTTTATTACAGAAAAAAGTCTGCACAACTGAGTGAACAATTGCATTAAGCTTAGTTGAACTGGCTTTGTCTTTTCTCAGCTACCAAATAAAATAAATAAATTAAAAAAAAAAAGTGAAATACAATTTGATTATTTCCTCATCCCATTCTTCTTGCTAAAGCATGAAGTTTGAAAAGAATCTTCTGCAATCTTCACACATTAAACGACAAGAACCAAAAACATAATGTGCAATTTGCAATCAACAGCAACAATAACATGTAAAATTGTTAACATCTGCTGGGCTACTTAAAACATAAAATATAACAAAATAAATAAATAAATGTTGATATTCGTAATTGAGTTCGCGCAAGAACATAGTCAACTAAACACTAAAGTGCATTTTGAAGCCCCAATTTCAAAAATTGAAAACTTGAGCACTCGATAAATAAGGATTAATTGAAAAAATGATAAGTCACTGAACATTACCAGAGAACCGTACTGTGAACGCAACAAATACCTGAAGAAGGGTCTATAGGAAACATTATATTACGGTTCCATTTAAACAGTTCGCAAACCGAATATATGCATACGCACTAAATGATTTTAAATTCTGTTTGCTGAGGCCACACAAATGACAAAAGATCTAAATTGTATATCTTAAACAAATTTCTTTTCGATAATGCAAATATCCCCTCTACTCACTAAGCGAATTCCAGTTTAAAACTGGTCAATCCGTAGAAGCCTACCATCTTTGAATCTCAAATTTTGTGCTTCCAATTTTTACCAACTTATTTCTTACACTGACATTCTCTTCATCGAAAACATCCAAAATCACATAAACCATAAAAACCCCAATCACCCACTTGAAGCAAAAAGACAAAATTGAACCAAAAACTCAGAAAAAATTTGAACACATAAATCAGAGAATAAATAACTAGAGGATACATGTTTATCTCTCAATTTGGTTGCTTTCCCCCTAATTTACTAAGCAACCAACCAAACAATAAAAGAAAATAAATAAATAAAAGCCCTGATTTTTTAGCACATATAAAAAAAACAAAGAGCAAAAATTAGTAGAGCAATGGGCCATCGGCAATGTGTACGGACCTAGAAATTCTGAGGCGTTTGGGGGGAGGCTCTTCCATAGATTAGAAACGAAACGACAGGTTTAATTTTGCTTCATGATTTCGGAATTGAAGATCGAGAGGGTGCAAAATCGCAGGTTGTAATTGATTCCGATGACGAGAATGAGAGCTAGGGTTTCAGAGTGACTGAGAGTGAGCGTTTTGAGAGGGAAAATAAATTGGCGCCAAAGTGGAGAGAGAAAACGGAAGGGGCATTTAATATTTGTAGCTGTATTTTACTGACGATTAGTCAGTGAGTGAGAGCAATCGACTCGACATTGTTAAGGACGAGTTTGATACGATTTAATATTTATAATAAATAAGACACTGTTATAAGCTTATGATGTAATTGCAATTAAATAAACTAACAGGGGCTGAAAAAAAGTAAAGAGTACTGAAATGTGAAGTTTTTATTAACTTTTTCTCTCACTAAAATTGTGTAAGAAAATTTACTCGATTTATAGGATTTCCTAACCAATCCACCTCCCATGGAGACTAACTATCTAATAACAAAACATAATTCATATGTTTTCTTTTTTTTGGGTAACCGAAGTATTCAGATTCATAATATTATTGTGATAGGTTGTCCTAAAGTTTGAATTTAGGAACTCAAATAAATGAGCAAATATCTTTGACTATCGGATCAACCAGACTACAAATGTTATTGTAATCGGTGACCCCAAAGTTTGAACTTAATAATTCAAAGAAGGGAATAAACATTTTTAACCATCGGACCAACCCCTTGGAGTTTATTGCATCCAATAACAAATCATAATCCATATGTTTTCAAGTGGACATGCATGGGCTATATTTCTTCAAGTGGACTTGCACGGACCATAGGTCAAATTGGTGGAAGTCCGTCACTTACGATAGATTCAAAAGAAAAAGAACTTGTGATTATTGAAATATTTTGATATAAAAATCTTGAGATATAATTTTTTTTTTTCTTTGTACAAGTATAGGATAAATGAAATTATGAGTACTTGAAGAACATGAGAACATGAGAGGAGGTCGGGAAAGATAGGTATTAGAGTTATGTATATTTTGATTTTCAATAAGCAAATAAATACTAAAGATTTTATTCTTCCTCCCTCTTTATTTCTTCTCTTTTCTTCCTCATTCTCACTGATTTTCTCCCCTTTTGTTTACTTATTAAGACAATTTCTCAAGAAAATTCTCTCCTATTCCCTTATTCTTTTGAATTCTTAACTTAATATTAATGTTAAAATAATATGAGTGTCTTACATGTTATGTGGTTAGTTTTAACACAACCCAAACCAATAAAATCTGTGTGGTATTTTTCAAAATAAACACAAACAAAATGTAGTGTTTTTCTTCAAAAGAAATGGGAATTAAGACTATGGTACAAACCCAAATCAATATAGAAAACCATAAACAAAACCGATTGGATGAAATGAAAAAACAATCATATAAATTTCGTAGCACGAAAAAGCATCAATCCGTTGTAGTCTAGTTGGTTAGGATATTCGGCTCTCACCCGAAAGACCCGGGTTCGATTCCCGGCAACGGAATTATTTTACAATATAACTTAATTTATTTTAATTTTATTTATACTTTATACAAATTTCAAAAGAAGATAAAAGCTTGTTGGAGGTGTTAAAAAGTAAAAACAAATAAAAAATATCTATGAAGACGACAATTTCTTCTTCTCCAACGCATCGGGACCAAGCTCACAACTTCCTCATCCAATCCAGAACCAAAACCCCCGCACTTTCTACTCTTCTTCTTCTTCTTCGTCTTCATCCGTCCATGCATGGCCATCACAACCATTTGTTCTTCACCTCCAACTCTCAAAACCATTCATCCTCTTCTGTCTCCTCCGCCCTCTTCTTCTTCTAACGTCAAGTTCAACGTCAACTTAGTCTCCAACTCCAATGAAGCCCTCTCCATCATTGCCTCAGCAACCGAAGCAATGGCCTTAGCAAGTGCAGCAATGCATGCAGCCCGAGAGGCCGTGGCATTGGCTCGCGGGGTCGAAGAGGTTGAGACTTTTGAGGGAGAGACTGAGACTGAGACTGTGAGTGTGAGTGTGGTGAGAGTGAGGAGGAAGAGTAGGAGAAAGAAGAAGACTAAAGAGTATGAATTTTTTGATAAAGGGTTTAGCGGTGAAGATGAGTTTGTGAAGAATAAGAAGTCTTGGTACTTGAGCCGAAAAGAGGAGGCTGAGATTTGTCTCAATCTCAAGGTCTGTTTGTTTTTGTCACAATAAGTTTTCTATTTATTTTTTATTTTATTTCAATTCAATTCAATTTCATTCGGATTATGATTTGATCAGTTAGCAGTCTTGCTGAAATCTAATTTCACTGTTAAGAAATCAAGTTTTTGCAATTTAACAGGAGGGTGCCAGGCTAGAAGAAGCAAGAACAAAAATGGCAGAATCTCTGGATCACAAGTCAATTTCAAAGGAATTAGCGAAGGCCACAGGGAAGAAAAGGAGGCAAGTAGATAAGATTTTGTGTAAAGAGAGAGAGTCACAAGAAAGGATCACTCGAAGCTACCGGAGACTTGTAGCCTCCATTGCCGCTGGTTATCAAGGCAAAGGATTAAGCCTCCAAGACCTCATTCAGGTTCCCACACTAATTTCCCTCCTGCATTGCTTCCAGTACTTGACTAAGAACATTTTCTTTTGCTTTGGCAGGAAGGAAGCATTGGACTTCTCCGTGGCGCAAAGAGATTTGATCCAGAGAGAGGAAACAAACTATCAACTTATGTTTACTGGTGGATTAAACAAGCCATGATTAGAGCCATAGCAAACAAGTCGAGAATGATCAGATTGCCGGTAAGCTTCAGTACCTGCAGCAATAAAAACTTGAGCATATCAAACATTTTCTTTTCAGGAGGATTTTGCATTTTTATGATAAATGTTCAATATGTAAACAGTATTTTTTTTTCCTTCCCAAATTTTGCTTTGTTGTAAATGAGCTATGGGAGGTAAGCTGGTAATTAGTGAAGGCATGGATAGCTTGTCATGTGCAGGGAAGCATGTGTGAGATGGTGGCAAAAATTGCAGAAGCTAATAGTGTCTTGACTAGAAGGTTAAGGCGGTTACCTACCCATAGCGAGATTGCTGAAATGCTTGAAATCAGTGTTTCAACTGTGAGGCTTGCTTTCGAGAGGATCAGGTACCCAATTTCGTTAGATCGAGCTGTAACTGACCGCGGCTGCATGACACTCCAGGTTCTTCTCTTGAATTTTGATGCATTTTATGTTTATACCAATCAATGCTAAGTATCAATTCAACAGAACTGAAGTCAATGTAAACATAAAAAGTTTCCTAGAAGGCAGGACTTGATTTACCTGGAAATTCAGGTGTTAGGTATGGAGTAGTTACTAGTTCTGCAAAAAAAAGTTCACTTGAAGATGAACCAGCAGAGATTTTACAGAAACTAATGTGAATTTGAGAAAAAGATCATACATGACTACTGAAGAACTTGATCAAGTTAAATTTGAATTGCTATTCGGTGAAACTCAATTATCAGGATGCCTGATTGAGCCTTCTCACCACACACTTCAATAAGTCATCTCAAATACCCTAGTGTAGAAATTTGTAAATACTCTGTTATATTTTGCTAATTTAATTCTCTCATTTCATCTTATTTTATTTTTTTATAAAAATAAGAACCGTTGATTGAACTGAACTTTTTCAATTTGACAATGCGTGGCAGGATATCATGCCAGGGCCAGATGAGACAATGCCAGAAAAGATGGTAGAAAAGCAGCTAATGAAGCAAGAATTGGATGATCTTCTCAAAACACTGACCGAAAGGGAAGAACAAATATTGAGATTATATTACGGACTAAATGGAGACACCCCTCTGTCCTGTGAGCAAATAGGAAAAGTTTTGAAGCTTTCGAGGGAGAGAGTTCGACAGATTAGTGGCATTGCATTAACAAAATTACAACAGACAGATAACCTGAACAATCTGAAAGTGTACATTGTATAGATATTTTTTCATTGATGAACATATCGAAGTTAGGATTGAATAAAAATACAGCGCAGAGGTTTCTTCATGTTCCTGGCATTTATCCTTGAAACAACCATCCAATCTGGACCAAGAAATAGCAATGTTTTCTCTGCTAAACAATGTGATAATTTCCCATCTCAGATCAAATGAAAACAAACAAGCTATTTCTTGGTACCAGAGTATGGTATACAAATATACAATTCATCATGCACTGGCAAGTAGTCCTCAGAAATATGTCTGCAGTAAAGTAATAGCAGTAATGCTACATTTAGAAAGGTCTTGCTTTGATGTGTGTATCAGAATAATTCACATTGCATACTGTAATTTCCTTTTGGTTTCCTACCACTAGGACTAATGGAGCCAAAAAGATGCTGTCAAATATCAATGAGGCTCATGACAATTGATATATGCCATTTTCCTGATTTCTGCGCCACTGATCGCTTAGCTCTTTCTATCAGATATTTCTAATGACCACGGTACTTTCAACGGTCAGGACAAACTTGGACCACAGCAAATGCCAAATAGTGAAGAAGATGACAGGGCTGCATAGTGATATAGTTTTATATTTTCTGACATGCCACAGCATTCAACCAGCGTTTGTAGTCCAACGGTTAGGATAATTGCCTTCCAAGCAATAGACCCGGGTTCGACTCCCGGCAAACGCATATCAATTTTTTTATTTTGAAATACAAAAGAAGCATTTAATCAAGTTAGATACATTTTGACATGAAAAATAATTAAGAATTAACTGTCATAAAGATGATTCTGAACATATTATATACATAGAGTTATTTGTATTATAGACTTAACATCTTTTTATTCTTCCTTGTGCAGATGATGAAGGATGTACAAGGAAGCAGAAGATAACAAAATACAAAAAGAATAACTTAGTAGATCCATGCCAGTGGATATTGCCACCATCTTGCTCCTTTCAAACATCTTCACTAGAAGAATCATGACAATGACATGTCCTACTTTTGTCTTTAGTTCATCGAGTGAGCTGATTTTCATCCATTTTGGTCTCTCCTACAAACCAAAAAGAATTGTTCAGTCAATTAGTAAGCTTAAGATGGTGTATTGGTTAAGAAGAATTGTTTAGGCCAAATAATGAATTGTAGATGTCAATTAGTAAACAAGAGATAATGCAGATGGAAGACCCTTTGGTAATAAGATAAATGCATATGCTGGTACCCAAATTTCTTGAGAAGATGCTGACAGTCAATTCTTGTTCAAATGCTATAAATACTACCTTCAAAGAGAACATTCCAAATAAGGAGGAGCCTTTGAGTGCACGATCAGAACTGGGAGCTACATCAGGAGGCACATTACTAATAAATAATCCGTATAAGCCCATACCGAATATTAACATGACAGTCCCCGCAAGATAAACATCTGCGTCAAGAAGAAAATGTTACAATCTTGTTTATCTTTGATGATAAAGTTTAATACAGAGATAAAGATGCACAGAGAGGAATCATGGTGCTAGAATGCTAGGAAGCATTAGAAGATTCAATTTGGAGGAATCAAAAGGACTGCTTAGTAATGTCTAAAAAGATCAAAGAAGTTCTGTAAAATTAACTCCCAGAGATGAGAATCTTACCAATAGCTTCAACCAATCGTAGAACCATCTGACCACTGTGAACCCCTTTGACACAGCTTGTCCAGTAAACTTTGTATGCCTCAACAATATAAAGACAACCCTACATAATAATCAGGATATTTCTCTGTGATTTATAAAACAATACAAAAAGTTATTGTTGAAGTGCAACTTAAGCTCTACCTCAAGGATGTGATGTGATCATTAATGTTAAGAAAGGTCTCTGAATAATATAGGAAACATTTCTTGAGTTAAAATGTATGCAGAACAGGAGTTAAATCTTAACTCTACAATGTTACGAAGAGTTGAACTTTATTCCTCAAGTGAACAACTCCTTGACTGACCAGCTTTGACTATAAAGCTTGAACCTCAACTATTTAAGCTAAAATAGCTTCACAAAGATGGCTTGCAAGTTGCAACGTAGCTATTTCCTATAACTAACGATTCTTTGTTTCTGTAACAAAATAAAACAGATGCTGGGTTATGAGAACATACATTTAGAAAGCATAGCACTGAACCTGCCAGTGAACCTGCAACAGCCAGAAGCGCCAAGAAGCGGAAGTCAAAAATTGCCTGCTCAAAAATGTTACAAAGACAGAGTATCTTAGAGATGTAAAAGAAGTTAGAAATTGCCTCTATTACACAAGAATCACATGAAATGGTCTAAGTATAGATTTTGGATGAAAACAACTTTTCAAGCTTTCTTGGTCTCTTAGAAAATTGGTTCTTCCAAAAGGGTACTTGCTCATCAGCAAATTAAAGAACACACAGGAAGCCAAAACACCTACATAACTTTATAAATTGTTCTCTCACTAACAGATTTCTCTGCACGCGAGCCACGCTAATTCAAATTGAATAACACTGATTTTCCAAATGCAATTTCTGATTGAGATTTTTATATTTTCTATCAATTTTCTAGATCAATTGTCAGAGAATTGTTCCAAAACTGATAGCAAACTTTATTTTGTCAATTCTTTAATAGGCATCACTATTCATGACCCCTCTCATTTGAGCAAATCACTAAGCTTGAAAATGGGAAATACTATTTCAAACAATTTAAAAAGAAGGCTTAATCTCAAGCACATAAATGTTAACCAATCTTGAAAATATGTTTTTACCTTCTAGTTTCATTCTAAGGCAAAAAGAAAATTAAGTTAGATCAAGTCCTTCATTAGTGGTTTGCTTATTAAATAATACGGATTGGTCTGGCACAACATAGATCAAACGATTTATAATTTATTACAAACCCTAACTAATTTATTCACCATACCTTATAACCATGCTTGGAAGTTGGAATTCCATATCTCTTCAACCCAAAAGTAATTTTTCCCAGTTTCCAAATAACTTTGGATTCCTATTTACCAGAGTTTCACCAAAATTTTCTCAACCACAAATTAGACATTTTCATTCCAATCAGGTAAACATATGCATCAAAGTGTTATCTATTTGCATGAGGTGATCAACTACAGCTACCTCAAGTTCTTCAACTCTACCAAACCAAACCCATCACTCACTAAACAAAAATAAGTACAAAAACCAAAACAAGCTTAGTCAAAACAAGTAATTAAACTAAATTAAAACTAAAAAATTGGTTTACCCTTTCGATGTTGGTCTCAGTGGACCTGACAAATCGGACAACCGGGTCCCCACTCGGGTTCGCAAGTGCATAGTTGAAGCTTGATGGAGGTTTAGAGCTTACAACATTTTCGTTGGTTGAAGCAGTTGTTGCTGGTGATGATATTGACGGTGTTGGTGATGATGATGATTCTGATGGACTCAGTGAAGCAAAAGGGCGTAAAGATCGCCGGATACTGGTGAAACGGCGGTGGATTGGTGGTGATACAGAGAGTGGAGCGGAGGAGATTGAAGTGAAGAGAGCCATTGAAGGGAGACAGAGAGACTTATTTTTGTTTGCTATGTTATTGTTTACTGATTGATAGGTGCTGTGGCGGGTAATAACGGTAATTTTCATTGGGAAGTGGAGCTCATGTATGCTATTAAGGCGCGTAGAGAGTTTGAAGGTTTAGTAAGGTAACTATCAAGTGTGACCCACTTAGATGATAATTTGCGGATTCTTTTTCCACGTTTTTGGCATCAAAAACATTTTTTTTTAAACAAGGTATGCGGACAGAGTACGTGTAACTCAACTAATCTTTATACATCATAACAAAAGCCTATTATTGGAATGATATAAGACAAATTTAACTTTTAACACCCTCCCTCATGCTTGGCATGTAAGACTCAGGTCCAAACCTATCATTGCCCTAACCAAAGAGGGGAGACCAATCACTTATATACACTATAACAACCCACTATTGCCCTAACCAAAGAGGGGAGACAAATCACTTATAAACACCATAACAACCCACTATTGGGACGATGTGAGACAAATTTAATTTCTAACACCCTCCCTCACGCTTGACGTGCAAGGTCTGAGTCCAAACCCATCATTGTCCCAACCAAAGAGGAGAGAGAAACAAGGGAGGAGAGAGCCCAATCACTTATATATACCATAACGGTCTACTATTGGGGTGATATGGGACAAACTCAACTTCTAACACTGCCATCATGATCACCAACTTAAATCTACAATATCCCACCATCATGATCACTCACTTAAATCTTGAGAGTCAGGAGATTCGAACTTGAGACCGTGTGCCTTATGTTAGACTTTTTTCATTATGGTCCTACACTTTTAATATAATTGCATTATGGTCCTACACTTTTATACTGATGTGGCTGATGTGGACTGATGTGGTACGGTTGTGTCTCTTCCCTTGAGCAATTGTCTTTGATGGAAAGACAACTGTATAAAAGGAGACTTTACAGGTCCCCATTTGATGCAGTTTTTTATTTTTAGTTTCAAAACCATCCCTCCAAAAATTGCAGTCAGTGGAAAATCTTGTAATTTATAAAGGAGAAAGAAAAACAAACAACAATTGCTATGGTCGGATGTTTGTCATTTACTTCCGCATATATTCCATGAAGATTTTATATTAAAATTGATTGTATTATCACTTTTATATGAATATTGGAATATAAATATATTTTACACCTTAGCCACAAATCCTAATACTGGTCTTACCACTAAAACTACCCAAGGATAATGGCATCAAAATCATGATATCATGATTCTACACAAGTTTAAAAACTAAACGAATCTTTGTCAGTGATGATATATGGAGCTTTAATTAGAAGTTTGTGTTCATAATATTAGTATAAACATATATTGGAGAGGGCTTATCAGTTTATACTATCTCCTAAAATCAGATGGTTTCAACAAAACAGGGAAAAAAATGGAGTACAATAAATTTCATATTTGATACTTGAATGATGAAAGTAAAAAGCTTGAAGAAATTAAAAAGAGAAACATCTGAAATTGGATTCTTGGTGTTCAAGAGGTTGATTTCTTTGACTTTGTTGGTCTTTTCTTCTGAACCCTTGAGCATCTGTCAACAATTTTGTCCACAAAACCAAAGTAAGCATCGCTCCAACGTTTTCTGATTGATAAAATTAGGATAGGAAGTAGAAGACCAGCTGCATATCCCAAGCCAAGAGTCAAGTAAAACCACTTGTCAATAAATTCATCACCATTGCCATTCTGATCATCATCAACACTCCCTCCTTTGTTTGAGTTGTCATCATTAGGGCACTTCACAGGAAGTGGAATCCCACAAAGACCAGGGTTCCCAGAATATGCTGACGCGGGAAAAGTTGTCATTTGCCCCAGTTGAGGAATCATGCCCGAAAAATTATTGTCTGATAAGTTTAAGTAACTAAGATATGATAATGAAGACATGCCAGAAGGAATTGGACCTGAAAGATCATTGCGTGAGAGGTCGAAGGATGCCAGCTGATGCAGACTTGTAATGTTTTCAGGAATTTGACCCTGGATGTGGTTTCTTGATAAGTTTAAAACCACCAAGCCGGACAGTCTTGTCAATTCTTCTGGAAATTCACCGGATAAGTTGTTTCCAGAGAGGCCTATGCTGGTGACCAGAGAAAGAGTCTTGGTGAATTCTCGAGACTGGCCTTTTATGCTGACAACCACACTTTCTTCATAGAAGAGGCCTCTGTACTTTCCATAAAGGAGGTAGTCGATTAAGTTTTGCTCTCGCGCCATGGCCTTAAGAGCTCCCAAGCTACCCGGGATGCTGCCTGTTAAATTGTTTTCTGCGAGGTCCAGCACTTGCAGTGAACTTAAACTTGAAAGCTTGGAGGGGATTTCTCCAGAGAATCTATTGGACCGCAACCTAAGAATTCTGAGCTCCGGAAAATCATCTCCAAGCAACAGTGGAATGTTACCGGAAAAGCTGTTGTCTGCAAGGTCTAAGGTTTCTAAACTTGATAAGTTTTGGAATGATGATGGAAGATTTCCTGTGAGTTTATTGTTGCTTAGGTGCAGAGACTGAAGCTGTTGTAATTGACCAAAAGATGCTGGAATCTCCCCGGACAAATTGTTGTAACTAAGGTCCAGAGCTTTTAGGAATGAACAATTCCCTATGCTTGAAGGAATGATTCCAGTAATGTTGTTGCTTGATAGATCAATGACTTGAAGAAGCATCATTTTTCCAATAGAAGCCGGGATTTCTCCTGTTAAATGGTTGCCTGATAGAGACAGAAAAATCAAGTTTGGCATGGATTCACTAATATTTTCAGGGACAAAACCTGAGAAGCGATTGTTGGAGAGGTCAAGTAATTCAATCTCCACAACGGGAAGGGGAATGAGTCCTTCAAAAAGGTTGGAACTGAAATCAACATCTGCGAAGGGGGCTACGTTTAAAGGATTTGGTAGCTGACCTTGTAGCCGATTGAAAGAGACATTTACAAGTGACATGTTGCCGGAAATATCCCAAAACCAGTTGGGTATGGAACCTGCAATGCTACCATTTGAAAAATCTAGAAACATGACCTCGTTTTGAGTTTCAAGCCAAGATGGAAAAAAAGGACCTAAATGACAAGAAGCCATATCAAGATTGCGGACTTGGAATGGTGGAATCCAATTGTTACTGACATTGAAAACGAAGGAGTTAGAGGACAAATGCAAGATCTTCAATTTAGTTAACCTTGAAAAATGCACTTCAGAGATACTACCAATTAAATTATTTAAAGAAACATCCAAGGTATCCAACTCTGAAAGAAGTCCAAAACTCTTTGGCAGAGTTCCATTTAGTTCATTTCCTGCAAGGCTCAAGATGGTAAGGTTCTGCAGTTTCCCCAGGGAAGCGGGGATGGTACCTTGAAGCAAATTATAGCTGAGACTGAGTTCTTCGAGATTTTCGACTTGACCCAACCATTCAGGCAGTTTGCCACGTAAATGGTTATTGCTTAATCTCAGGTACATCAAACTAGGCAGAGGACTATCAGAAACACAGCCATCGATTACATCAAGGAATTCAGGCAAAGTACCTGTCAGGTTATTACTTGACAGATCAAAATTTTTTATGTTACAAAATTTACCAATGGAACTTGGTATGCCACCCTCAACAGCATTATTGGACAGATCAAAATAATTGAGAAAAGTCATGTTTCCAATAGAAGAAGGAAGTTTGCCATGTAATTTGTTTGAAGCAAAGTTGAGAAACTGTATCTTTTTCCAGCTTCCGCGGAGCAACTGAGAGCAACTTGCCGAAAGATTATTGTTCAAGGCAAGATTCAAATACTGCAGATTAGGTAACTCAGTAAAGCCTAGTGGAATTCTTCCATAAAAATTACAATTGCTTAAATCCACATGAACAAGAGTACTAATATTAACAAGCCAGTCAGGGAACTTTGAATTGAAGTCATTAAAACTAAGGTCCAGAACAGCAAGTGAAGTCAAATTAACAAGTGAAATGGGCCCGGTAAGGTCACAACTTTGAAGATGCAACTCAGTTAAATTCGGAAGCTTGTTTAAGACCCCAGACCATTTAGTACCCACCAATGAAAGGTCAACACTATTCATAGCAAGATACTTGAGAGAAACAAGACCAGTCACCCATTCTAGACTATTAGCACTTAAACCAAAAATTTCGGTAGAAACATCAAGATACTGCAGTCTAGAGAGGTTTCCCAAACTTGAAGGAACAACACCACCAAACCCGGATTTTGATAAGTTCAAATACTGCAAATTGTCCAATGATCCCAGAAATTCAGGAACTGGAATGTCATTAAAATTATTTAGACTCAAATCTAGATACAGTAAAGACTCAAGCTTTATCAATGAAGGTCTAAGTTCCCCACTTAAGTTCCAAGAACCATACCTGTTCTGCAGGTCAATGGCAATAACAGCTCCAGTAATATTCTCACATCTGATTCCGCGCCATTGACAACAGTTCTTTCCTTGCCAAGATGAAAGCAGGTCTTCAGGATCTTCAAGGCCAGATTTAAAATCAATAAGTGCTTCTATCTCGTTGTCAGAACAATCTGGGAACGTGGTATCACCATAACTAGCATATTTACATGTTATGGCACATAAAATGGCTAAAACAAAACCAAGAACTGAAAATCTTCTCATCTTGAGTTCAACTCTTGAGATGTGAATCAGTTTAAACCATTGAACTGCTTAGTATATGAATATGCAGACTCCATTTTCTTGATCTGCAAGAAAATTTTTATTTATTGTCGACAAGTCTATGGATGGCTAATAAAAAAATAATAATCATAAGATAAAATCAAAATAATATAATCTGTTCAAACAACAAAGTCGAGGCTTAGCCAATAACCTGTCCCCACTTAGTAGTGTTGGTAAGCCAATCACGTACTGCAAGTCAAAAATTTTGTTTTATCTCAAAGACCGTTGAAATCACAGGCCATTGACTTTATTAAAAAAGGCTAGCCGCCATCTTGCCAAGCACGTAGCCTCAGTTTCACCATTAGAAAATGATTTGGTTTCACATTACATGCCAGTTGTCAATTCCATGATCAGATTTTGTAGTCCTCTAGAATCCTGGAAATGATTTCAGGAACTGCTCACATGTGGAGCTATAAATTTAAAGGAAGGTCAATACTACTTAAAGATTATACATTGTTTTCATGGAGAAAGTTAACATATATAATATTAAATTATCTGATCAACTACATAGTTCATCATCCATCACTCATCGCCATACCAACTATGTTAAAGTGGATGGGATAAAACTTACTTCCAAAAACTATATCAACGGAGGGTGGAACTCAACTACATATATACACTATAATAGTCTATCAACTTAAAGGTGTGGGCCAAATTCAACTTATAACACAACCCACATATCTGTTTGTAGATTTTTCATAATTATCTCTCGTCCAAAACACGTCTATTTAATTAAAAGAAACTTAATACTGATAAAGATAGGACATGTCTAATCTCACATCCCTTCTAATAGTTGAGCTCAGACAATCAGAAAAATCACGTCATAATAAAGCAATCTGAGTGCAAATAGATTCTCATCCACTTCAACTGCAAAATTGAAAACGTAGATTTTTTTTTTTTTTTTAAAATGCCCTTTTGAGATTTAAATGAAATTGACTTACAGTATGTGATCATGCCACCCTTTCATATATAATCTGGACCTCCATATTCACCATGCAGGGCTGATATATGAATCCATGGCTGCGCCTTGTGAGTGTGGGATATCAAACGGAAGCGTCAAGGGTCATCTCTGAGTACAATAACGTAAGTAGTATTGTTTCTTTTAAAATAATCCCCCATGATGTAGGCAGAATCTGTATTTTTAGGTATTATGTCGAGAATACCGTGTTAGGCAATTCATGTAAACCGTTGACTAATGTTCCATCCCGAAAAAGACATAGATGTCATTTTCATTACTGCTTAAAAAACCAAGTAAAATCAGGGTAATTTCATAGCAACTTGAGAATTGGTGCATGGAAAGAGTTTGATTGATTTGCAAGTTAATTATTGAAGCAAAAAAACTGGTGATAGTTGAATCCTTAAGGTTGTGAGCTCGGAGGCGTGGAATCAAGACAGTCAGAGAAATATTCACCTACAGAATTTTGTGAAATTCACTCTTATATTGGCTCCTGAAGATTGAGCTTTCCTTTATTACATGGAACAGATACTAGTATGGAAAGACTTAGCCAGTCAACTATCTCATAAGCAAAAGATCAGGATTTCTAAAGGGAATGCATTGAAACTAATTCTGTACTTTGCCATGAAAAGTAAAACAAACTTTGAAGAAACAAAGGAAAATCTATCCTCGCCGCGTAGGCTGATTTCTGCGATTTATTGGTCTTTTCTTCTGAACCCTTAACAACCATCTGTCCACAATTTTGTCAACAAAACCGAAGTAAGCATCGCTCCAAGGTTTTCTGATTGATAAAATGAGTATAGGAAGCAGAAGACCAGCTGCATATCCCAAGCCAAGAGTCAAGTAAAACCACTTGTCAATAAATTCATCCCCATTGCCATTCTGATCATCAACACTCCCTCCTTTATTTGAATTGTCATCATCAGGGCACTTCACGGGAAGTGGAATCCCACAGAGACTAGGGTTCCCAGAATATGCTGATTCCGGAAAAGTTGTCATTTGCCCCAGTTGAGGAATCATGCCCGAAAAATTATTGTCCGATAAGTTTAAATAACCCAAAAACGATAAGGAGGACATGGTGGAAGGAATTCGACCTGAAAGATCATTGCTTGAGAGGTCAAGAGATTCCAGTTGATGCAGACTTGAAATGTTTACTGGAATCTGACCCGTGATGTGGTTTCTTGATAAGTTTAAAACCACCAAGCCAGACAGTCTTGTCAATTCTTCAGGAAAAACTCCGGATAAATTGTTTCCAGAGAGGTCTATGCCGGTGACAAGAGGAAGATTTTTGGTGTATTCTCGAGACTGGCCTTTTATGTTGACAATCACACTTTCTTCATAGTAGAGGCCTCTGTACTTTCCATAGAGGGGGTATTTCATTAAGTTTTGCTCTCGTGCCATGGCCTGAAGATCTCCCAAGCTACCTGGGATGGAGCCTGTTAAATTGTTTTCTGCAAGGTCCAGCACTTGTAGAGATTGTAAAATTGAAAGCTTGGAGGGAATTTCTCCAGAAAATGCATTCGACCGTAAGCTAAGAATTTTGAGACTCCCAAAGCCATCTCCAAGCAGTAGTGGAATATCACCTGAAAATCTATTGTCTTCGAGAACAAGCGTTTCTAAACTTGATAAGTTTAGGAATGATGATGGAAGGTTTCCTGTGAATTTATTGGTGCATAGGTGCAGAGATTGAAGCTGCTGTAAATGACCAAAAGATTCGGGAATCTGCCCAGACATATTGTTGTTTCGAAGGTCAAGAACTTTTAGGACAGAACAATTGCCTATGCTTGAAGGAATGATTCCAGTAATGTTGTTGTTTGATAGATCAAGGACTTGAAGAGACATCATTTTTCCAATAGAGGCCGGGATTTCTCCTGTTAAATGGTTGCCTGATAGAGACAGAAAAATCAGGTTTGGCATGGATTCACTAATATTTTCTGGGACAAAACCTGAGAAACGATTGTTGGAGAGGTCAAGTAATGCAATCTCCACAACGGGAAGGGGAATAAGTCCTTCAAAAAGGTTGGAGCTGAAATCAATGTCTGCGAAGGGGGCTACGTTTAAAGGATTTGGTAGCTGACCTTGTAACTGATTGAAAGAGACATTTACAAGTGACAGGTTGCCAGAAATATCCCAAAACCAGTTGGGTATGGAACCTGCAATGCTACCATTTGAAAAATCTAGAAACATGACCTCGTTTTGAGTTTCAAGCCAAGATGGAAAAAAGGGACCTAAATGACAAGAACCCATATCAAGACTGCGGACTTGGAATGGTGGAATCCAATTGGTACTGACATTGAAAACGAAGGAGTTAGAGGACAAATGCAAGATCTTCAATTTAGTTAACCTTGAAAAATGCACTTCAGAGATACTGCCAATTAAATTATTTGAAGAAACATCCAAGGTATCCAACTCTGAAAGAAGTCCAAAACTCTCTGGCAGAGTTCCATTTAGTTCATTTCCTGCAAGGCTCAAGATGGTAAGGTTCTGCAGTTTCCCCAGGGAAGCAGGGATGGTACCTTGAAGCAAATTATAGCTGAGACTGAGTTCTTCAAGATTTTCAACTTGACCCAACCATTCAGGCAGTTTGCCACGTAAATGGTTATTGCTTAATCTCAGGTACATCAAACTAGGCAGAGGACTATCAGAAACACAGCCATCGATTACATCAAGGAATTCAGGCAAAGTACCTGTCAAGTTATTACTTGACAGATCAAAATTTTTTAAGTTGCAAAGTTTACCTATGGAACTTGGAATGCCACCCTCAACAGCATTATTGGACAGATCAAAATAATTGAGAAAAGTCATGTTTCCAATAGAAGAAGGAAGTTTGCCATGTAATTTGTTTGAAGCAAAGTTGAGAAACTGCATCTTTTTCCAGCTTCCGTGGAGCAACTGAGAGCAACTTGCCGAAAGATTATTGTTTAAGGCAAGATTCAGGTACTGCAGATTAGGTAACTCATTAAAGCCTAGTGGTATTCTTCCATGTAACTTACAATTGCTTAAATCCACATGAACAAGAGTACTAATATTAACAAGCCAGTCAGGGAACTGTGAATTGAAGTCATTAAAACCAAGGTCTAGAACAGCAAGTGAAGTCAAATTAACAGTTTTAATCAATGGAATGGGACCAGTAAGGCCACAACTTTGAAGATGCAACTCAGTTAAATTCGGAAGCTTGTTTAAGACCCCAGACCATTTAGTGCCCACCAATGAAAGGTCAACACTATTCATAGCAAGATACTTGAGAGAAACAAGACCAGTCACCCATTCTAGACTATCAGCACTTAAACCAAAGAGTTCAGTAGAAACATCAAGATACTGCAGTCTAGAGAGGTTTCCCAAACTTGAAGGAACAGCACCACTAAACCCGGATTTTGATAGGTTCAGATAGCGCAGATTTTCCAATGATCCCAAGAATTCTGGAATCAGAATATCATTAAATGTGTTGGTGCTCAAGTCTAGATATTGTAAGGACTTGAGTTTTATTAATGAAGATCTAAGCTCCCCACTTAAGTTCCAAGAAGCATACCTGCTTGAAGTATCGAAAGCCATTTGATATGGGTCACGGAGGTCAATGGTGACAACAGCTCCAGTACTATTGTCACAACTAATTCCTTGCCATTGACAGCAGTTGCTTCCTTGCCATGATGACAGCCGGTTTCTAGGATCTTTAAGGCCATTTTTGAAGTCGGTAAGAGCTTGTAGGTCGTTTTGAGAACAATTTGACATGTTGGTATCGGCATTGCTAGCATATTCACTTGTTAAGGCACATAGAATTGCTAACACAATGCAATGAACCGATAATCTCCCCATATTTGGTTTAGCAAAGGCTGTGAGTTACTTTAAGCCATGGAATTGCGCAAGACAAGCATATATACTCTCCATTTTCTTCGTCCAATGGTAATCGTACAAAATGGCGTGAAGAAAAACCAAAAGATCGCACTATCAGAAAAATGAGATAAGCAAACAGAGAAATATGATTTTTTTTTAAACAATACGGACATTGTGGATTTCATCCTATCGCATCATACAAGTTAAGAAATAGTATACCGCATTTGGCTTTGTATATTTTCAAAGAGTATT